TTGTCCATGGGCTCAGGTGTCCCCAGGTTTCACCACACTTTGGAGCAACAAGCCCTTCCTCTTCTCTCTCTCATCTCCAGGTCAACAGGAGTCAATGGACTGTGGTTGAACTCAGCCCATTTCTTCATTGCTGCCTTTCCCCCTCTTCCACTCACTCCCAGTAGACCAATGTGGTTGCCAGCAAGCTTACATGCCTGCTCACGTGTTCTCTTTGAGTTTCAATCTTAGAGGGGAATTTGTCCTGAAGGAACTTGATTGCTTGCTTGATGGCTTCCCAGTGAACAGCTTGTTTATTCTTGTAGTAGCCAGTCATGCTGACATTCCTGATGACCTTTCTTTGAAAATGTGTATAAACAGCTCTAGCTGTTCCAGGCTGGTCTGCTGGTCCTTGCTAATGGGAATGTACTACCTCCTAAGGTTCTGGGTGGGACTCAGGATTCCACTTAAGGTCCTATACTCTACAAAGGCTTTGCAAGAGGCCTATTTCACTGGGCAAGTTGTAGAACCCCTTTTAGGTATTCCAATCAGTTATAGGCTGAAGACAGGCATACCAGTTTCCTGTAATTATGCTTCCCGACATTCGTTTCTATCCCACTCAAGTGTCTATTTTACAATAGTAGGCAAGGGAAACCAATATTCATAAGACAGTCAAGCATTTTAGTATTAAAATATGCCTCGATCTCTGTATCACAGAGCCCTGTTGTTCCAAGGTTGAGCATACATCACTATTTACCTCTGTCCCACTTAGGCCATGCAAACATGTTTCAATGTTCCCTATCTATCTTGTTCTTCCACCTTCTCCCCCTTCTTGTATTGTCCTCCCCAACACTTGAACAAAACCCCCCACCCCAACCCCACTCTTATGGTTACCTTATATTCCATTAATTCTTCCCTCCATTTAAGACAGTCTATTTTATCCTGTAGTCTACCTGACCTTCCCACCATCTGGATCTCTGTTCCTCTGTGTTTACCTTCTTTCACATTGTAATTGTTTTGATCATAGACTGACCTCCCAGATCCTCTGTTCTTATCATTTTATTCTGTTCTTGACTCTTCCATTTGTTGACTGAGTTCAGAATGATGCTGCCGTATACGTCATTCTCTGGTTGTTTGTTCTTGTTGGTTCTCAGTCCACAGAACTTCCTTTAGGATGTTTTTCATAGCAGGGTTG